ACCGAGAGACTAGTTCCCAGCATTCGAGGAAGTCTTTGTTCCATCACCAGCTTATCAGTGAGCTCGCTGAGCGGTTAGTTCAGTGATAACAGCACAGTAACACACCACGATCACACAATTGAGAGCAAAAAACCCACATTATCCTCCCAATAGAGATGCATCTGATAAAACTGACAGCCTTTCACTATAAAACGACTCAATGACCTAGAAGTAGAAGAGAGCTCCCTTGACCTAATAAAGGGCACCCATAAGAAATTCACAGCCAAAATTCCACTTAATGATGGCAGACCGGGTGCTTTCCCCAGACAGGAACAAGACAGCAATGTCTGTTCTTCCACTCGTGTTCCAACTAGAGGTTCCCACCAGGCAGTTACCACCTCCCCTAAGATATGTGCGTCGTGTACGCAGCCTCAAATGACCAGTGAGTACCATGCCGTTAGTAACCAGAGACTCACCCCAGTCACTCCTAGGAAAGCCTGCTGGCCACGCCCACCTACCCCGGCCTCTGGGAAAGGTAGGTTTAGCCCTGGTCATGGAACCTGGTAACGTTCTAGGGGTGAGGGAAGAAGAACTATCTGCAGAGACAGGATGCAAGAGTCTGTCTCTGGCTCAACCCATTCCTAGTGGCTAAATAGCTTAGTTATGGTGCATTTGGTTTACTGACAAACCCTGCACAGGTCAAGGGAATAAGGGGTGACTGGCCTACAGGCAGAGGTTAGTAGGAAGAATATAATGACTGAGCTCACTTTTCTTCTACAAATGTGTTTCAAATAGCCAGTTTTGTCTCAAAGTTAGAATGACAATAAGAGGGATAATATTAGCATCGACCTCCTGGGATGTACTGTTACTATTCTCGTGTTTTAGAGGAGGGCAGCGAGGATCCAGAGAGGCTGCTTAAGGTCATTCTGCTTGGTAAGTGTCTAAGCCACACTCAAACCCATCACTACTGGGCTAAAAATCCTGTGTTTCAGTTTCCTCACACAGTGTCTGGGCAGAGGCCAACTTAATGATTCCAGGACTGGACACTGACCCCAAAGTGAAGGTCAGGCTCCCCCCACAGCTTCCCTGTCTCCACCCCAATGGCCCCATCTCACTTCCGTGCATGTCTCATACGAGGGTGATTGTGGTCCATTCTGGGGTTGTTCCAAGGTCTGTTTATACTGTACAATCTCCCCGTTATACCCTTGCTGAATGCTTTTGAGGGTCTCTAATTGTTGAGGACAAAGGAGAACTAAAGTCCACACTCGCCATCTGAGGCCACCCAGCCTCCTGACATTTGCCAGCTCTGACATCACTGCCCGAGGTCTCCATCCCAGGGCAGTGTTTTGGGACTCTGCATGAGTCACACATGGCCAGCTCAGTGAGTAACCAAGTGACTTGTGTTTGGGCAAAACCATTTGTGTCCATGAAAGAAATGTTCCTAGGTCAATCTGTGAAAGATGGGCGTGGGACTCAGAGCACAGTGTGAATACCATGCAAATGGACAGAAGGCGCTCAAGGACAGACACTTGTCCCCAGCCTAGAGACACAGGAGGACCAGTACCAACCCAGGCTCCCTGGCTGCTCAGAGCAGAGAGCCACACTTTTTTCTGCTAGAAATCAAGCCCCAAATGGGGTCAGAGACACAGGCAAGGATGGATGGGGAAAAGGAACCACAGGGCAAGCAGACCAGGAGGAAGGAGGAGAGAATGGACAGAGGACAAAAACATTCTTGGGGACTCTGAAGGGGCCAGAGGTAACAGGCAAGATACAGTGGGCACATTCTGGGGACCCAGCTCCGATACCCGCAGAGCCCACCCAGAGACCATCTAAAGTCTTGGCTAGGAAGATGGGGCATCCAGAGGACGTGAAGGGGGACAGTGGGAACAACCATGATAGTACCAACCACCACCATTCACTGAACACCTACTCTGTGCCAGGTATTAACCTACGTGCTTTACAAATTCCTTAATTCTGGCAGAAAAGAATATTATCCTCACTTTACAGAACGAGAAACTGAGGCTCAGAACAGAGCTTAAGGAGTAGAAAAAAACTGAGGAGAGCCTGATCCAGGGTTCCAACCAGACCCCAGACCCTCACCCCACTCCAAGAGGATCTCACGCCCCTGCAGCTCCACCTCAGGAAGCCCACAGCCTGTGCATGGTGACCAGGAAGCAACCAAGCCTCCCAGTGGGACCATGAGCTCAGGTTGCTGCACGGAGGGTCAGGAGTGGAGAAGACCATGCAGGCTCTCGGGGTGGGGGTGTCTAGCTCAGAGTCCAATCTAGTAGGGTCATCACAGAGAGGAGACTGAGGGAATGACCAGCACTCTCCCAACCCTCTCCTTCAGCTCAAAGCAGCTCACAGTCAATCTGGTTCCCAGGGCTCCTCCTCAGGACCCAGATCCAGTCCACTCCCTGTCCCTGATGGGCATCTGTTTGCTTGCTCTCTGCCCGAGTCCCAGCCCAGAGATGATGGTGGGAAAGAGACGAGGCTGCAGCCTGAGAAGGAAAAGGAAGGGGACTGTGGCATCTCAGAGACCAGCATGGGAGCCAGAGTGGGGTGGAGGGGTGACAGGACCCTGAGCAGGCTCTGCGGGACCATCCAAAACAGGGCCGAGAGTGAACTCAAGCTTCTCACACTGATGAGACCGTTCCCTTTTCCACACTGGCACCAGCGATGTATGAAGCTGTCTAGGTGTATCCAAGGGTCAGCTGCTCAGGTCTCAAGGGAAGGCCTGGCCTCAGCCACACCCACCGTTAGTAATAACAGTCGTAACAACCATGATGCTAACAGTTTCTGAGGAACTTGTTCTGTGCCGATCGGTGGTTTTATGCAGTGCCTCATTACCTCATCAGCAGGAAAACCACAAATAATAATACTGGACGACAACCCCGAGAGCAGTGCCAGAGCGGCTGACTGTACGCTGGGTCACTCAGCATAGACCGTCAGTTTGTGGGTCCACCTAACAGTTCGAAGAGAGAGCTTGGTGTTTTTTGTTTCTCCCTCTGGGAAGCTGAGGGGCTTCCTGGGGAGCACAGCACTGGACAGAGGCCAGCATTCGAAACCACTGTCTTGACCCAGTCTGTGATCTAAACCTGGCTCTGGATACAGATTCAGGTCCGTCTAAGATTCACAGCAGCACCCACAGTGGCCAGCTGGAGACCCCGTTCATCAACAGTTACCGCTTCCCTATTTATGCAGCTCTGTCACGGGATGGGGGCTCCAAACATGAAAGATGGGTTTTTCATGTCCATCTTCTAGAAACAAACATGTGAAGTCACACTCTGGGATTTATACAGACCAAAAACTCAGGGTGACACCACTGGGGTAGTGGGAGCTGTCTGGGATCCTGCTTGGTTCTCAGGAAATACCAGGAGTTAGATAATATTACACACCCTTTTATCAATGAGGAAACTGAGGTACAGAGTATAAAGCAGCAGGTGTGGGGTCATTAGTAAGTGACAAAAGTGCTTGAGCAGAGCCCAAGCACTGCGGTGCCTGGTAGCCCTTCACTTGATGCTGAGGAGTCCAAAGCAAATGACCCCTGGCTCCCTCAGGGATAGGGACCTCTACTCTTCTAGTCTGTGTGCAAAAGTCTGCTGTTCCCAAAGAGGAACATTGTTCTTTATGTGGGTTCCTGGGTCTGTTTTGCAAGAAGCCTGAGCTCTCAGAAGATTGGGGCCTAGGAGTCTCGGTCTGCAGCATCCCCAGCTGCATGTAGCACCTGCCTGGCTCAGGAGACTGGAAACAACCCAAATACATGGGAAACCAGCAAAACCTGGAGCTCATATTTAGCCCAGCTCCAATCTGCATCACACTCTGTACACAGGCACTCAGAGCCTTTGTCTTCTTCTCCTTCTTCACCCACAATTCTTTAAATAAAAATTTTACTAATGTTATGGATTAAAAACTGGTGGTCAACTTAACACCAGCCGAATTAAATCAACATGGTGCTGAGTGTAGACGGCCCACCTGAGGCAAGTTGCCTGCAGAAAAGGAGATGTGGAGAGGAAGAGCGTGGTGTTGTGGGTTCTCCCAAGTGTTGTTTGGAGCCGTTGGTTCTCCTGGAGGAGCTGAGCATGCTGGCTGGCGTCTCTGATAAGAATTTGGCTGTTATCATCGGAGGAGCTCAGGACCTTGTTGCTGACAATGACTGCGGTTCACTTTGGGGGAGCCCTGGCCCTTACTCTGAGCATCGCTTCCTGGCTCCAGAGGGGAAGATGTGTGCTGCTCAGTCTCCAGGAGAAGCTCGTCACACTGGATTCCTGGCATGTACTCAAGTGTTCTCATCATCAGAGGAGCTTGGGACCTCCTTGTCACTGAAGATGGCTGTGGTGCTTTCAAGGGGAGTCCTGGTCCTCACTTTGAGCATTGTTTCTTGGCTCCAGTGCAGAACCCTCAGCCTGCTGGCACAGATCCTTCACCCTGCTGGAATAGCCTTTCTATCTGCCACCACAGACCATTGGACCTTCCCAGTGCAGATCCATAAAACAGACGGGCATGAGTCATTGTCATGGGGTCTGGCTCCAGCCACCATTGTGGGGGGCATTGTCATGGGCTCTAGGCCTTTGACTGGACTCATGCAGGACCTTACTGTGGGATCCAGACCCTTGGCTGAACTTCCTAGGTCTTTAGTGTTGTGCACAGATTTCCTGCACTTTCTAGTATTTAACTCTGGGTGACCATCATAAAGGCATATTATAAATTCTGTATCCTGCATGTAGTTATTCTCCTTGTAACCCCTGACAACAACTAACAAGAAATTTGACATGAAACAAAAGTGGGGAGAACAGCATGATGAATTCACATTTTACCCATCACCCAGCTTTAGCACTTGTCAACATTTTGTCACTAAACATTTTTTTAAAAAATCAAGATTGAATTTTAGAAAGTAAAATTTTGTCCTATTCCTGTGCAGTAGGTGAGGGGTGGGTTTTTAAAATGTATTTTTAACACAGATGGAACCATATTGTAATACTGCAGATTCAGATTCATCTATTAGAACTCAACAAAATATGTTGAAGCCCTTTTTATGTGAATTTATTGCGTGTAGACACAAATTTACCTCAGTTCGTTTAACATCTGTATAGAACTAGACTGTGAGGTTGTTCCGGAAATTATTTAGCCGGTTCCAGTCCGGCAGAGTCCACTCATGCACACCGGGAGAGGTAGCTGACCTTTGGAAGCAAATAGTTGCCTGCTCTGTCACTGTCACCTGACACCTGACTGACATGGCAGCATCGGGCGCTGAGTGAGAGGATTCAGGGGAAAGAACACCTACAACATTCCAGGGAAGGGCTCAGCCAGCCCGCAGTTCACCGCCTGGGCCAGCAGGTGACAGCTACATCTGGTTCCCACTCTTCCATCCACTGCGGAGGGACATCAGGCCAGCACCTTAACCTTCTGGACCTAGATTTTCACCTGCAAGCACTGTAGTGTTGGGTTACAGTGGAGTTCAAGTGGAATCACAGGGCACAGCTGAGCACTGAGCAGCCAGGACCCCCCTGCTCTGGCTCAGAGGCTGTTTTTGATGCAGTGGGAGAACTGCTATCACTGTGTTTTAGCACATCCAAGCTCAGGATCCAGTAAACTGCAGCTCCGGGGCCAGACCTCACCAGCCCTAGTGTTTGCAAATAGCACCGCGTTAGCGCACAGCCACGCCTGTTCATTCACGTGTCTGGAGCTGCTTGCACCCTGCAAAGGAAGGGAGAGTTGAGCAGTTGAGTCAGAGACTGCTGGATCACAAAATCTGAAACAGTTCACCTCTGGCCCTTTGTGGAAAGGTTTGTTGAATGTGCCAGAGCTCGTAAGACACACTGTTGTGTTAAGTCTCCTTCCAGGAGAAGGAGTTTCCATCATATAAGTGGTGGCTCATCAGCAGTGTAAGATGAACCCAAATTTCAGAGAAATTGCAAAGAAAAAGAAAAGTGCATCAAAGGATTGATGAAATGCAAGGTCAGGCATCCCATCAGAGGTGCTAGTTAAGTGTTAATTCCTTTTTCTCTCCTACAACTACACGTCCATACCTAAAAACATTGTCAAGCATGAACACTGAACTCAGAAGGTATCTAGCATCATAGTTATAAATGTCCATCCCCCCTGTGCTGCCACATACCGTAAGCTGTGTGACCACCTGGGTGACCATGGGCAGGTTGATTTGTCCCTTTAGCCCTCAGTTTTCTCATCTGTAGAAAGAGAAGATGAAAATGCACAATTCATGCAGTTAAAACCATCACTGACATTAACCACGTAAACTGGTATACATTCGTGATAGTAATTTGACAAATTACTTATCTTGACCAAGCTGATTTCCATACATCCCCTAAAAATGAAAAAGCCCTCACTGGACATCTGGAATAACATCCTGTAGTCTGTGGACACAGTCATTGCCCTGCTTCGGGCCCAGAGAAAATACTCGGAGTCACTGCAGAAGGCCTACCCTGTCATCCCCAAATTCTGTCATCCTACATCCCCTCGCCTGGGGAAGTCTAATCCCAGCCCCACACACAGCGAGCTATCCAGATGGTAAGCCTAAAATAAGACTCCTCCTTAGCTTCCTGTCTCCAGGCCTCCTTCCACTCAAGACGAGTCTGGAGACACTGTTAGTATGGTTTGACACTCCCCTGGGATCCAGAGTGACCCCAGTGGTGGGGGGATATGGAGATATAGGAAAGAACTTAGTCTCAGTCAGCAAGAAAATCACCAAACAGAGGCCCCTTCACTCCAGCAAGGCGTTACTCCACCAACTCTGAGCAGCTCCCATGAAACTCCTCTTGGAAACTGTGAACTTCAGAAAAAGACGGCCCAGCAAGTTTAGCCTTCAGCTAGCTCACCCCTCTGCTCTAAACACACAGCAGGAGCTGTTCAAATAGAAAACCAAGCTCTCGGGTCCAGCCATCAAGAAGGGTAAACTTAGCCTCCCACCACAAACACTGAGAAATCTAACAGCTAAACACTTACCTGGAGCAACTCCCTCCAAGCACTAGACAACAGACAGAACTTCAGTCCCCTAGAGAGGGTTTCACACAGGCAAGTCCCATATCCTCTCAGGCTCTCTGACTAGGGGTATATTTTCAAACTCTTCTCTTGGGAAGTTGAGCCCAAACAGAGCAAAGCTCTCACTCACCAGAAGAAATAAAATAAAGAGCAACTAGAAAAAAATCTGCAATGAAATAAAAGATCTGGATAATACTGTCAACTCATTTGACTTAACTGGTATTTACATAATACTCCAACAAACAATGTCATGTTACATGTTACATGTTATTTTTAAATGTTCTCAGAATACTTACCGAGATAGTCTCTGTTCTGGGCCAAACATGTCTCAACAAATTTTAGAGAATTTCGTTCATGCCAGCATCACTAGAGTAACTAAATTAGGAGCTGATATTACAAAGGTATCTGGAAAATCAAAAATTACTTGGAAACTTAATAAAAACACTTCTAAATAGCCCAGAAATCAAAGGAGATATCAAAATGGAAATCAGTAAGTATTCCAAACTGAGTTAAAATAAGCAGACGACACTGTACAAAAATAGACAGTGTACCAAACTCTGTGGGATGCAAACAAAGCAGTGCAGAGAAGAAAACTCAGTGTTCAATACACGTATTAGAAATAAAGAAAGATCTTAAGTCAATGGCTTCAGTTTCCATTGTAAGAAACTAGATTGGGGAAAAGTAAATCAAATTCACAGTAAGCAGAGGAAGGAAAATAACACCAGTACAGTGGAAATCAATTAAATAGAGAACAAAAAATCAACAACAAAAATTAAATGAATCCAAAAGATCAATTTTTAGAAGATCAAAAAATTGATAGATATCTAAACAAAAAAAAAACAACGCAAATACAAATATCTGAAATAAGATGGAAAAGCAAGGATTCTATAAATGATAAAATGATAACAATGAACAACTTAATGCCAATAAATTTTAGAAATCAGACAAACTACAAACTATAGTAAAGAAGTAACTTTAGCAGGCCTATATCCAATAAAAATAGACTTCATAGTTTAAAATCTATAAGAGAAGTCAAGGTCCCTTTACTCATTAATTTTTCCAAACATTTAAAGGAAAAATAACTGTAATTTAGCAAAATCTTTCCAAAAAGTAGAAGATAGGATGTTTTTAAAAAATTCTTCATGATGCCAGAATTACATCTGGCATCAAAACCAAAGATATTACAAAAGATTAATGTCCCTTTTGCATCCATGCAAAAACCCAAAGAAAATTTTTGACAAGGGAATATATAGAAGTACAATATATTATCACTAAGTAGAGTTTATCCAAGGAATGTGAGGTTGGTTTAACATTCAAAAACCTACCAATGTAACTTCACATGTTAAAAATTATAAAATTAAAAATACATGATCATTTTAACAGATGCCAACAATCCAATAATCAAGACTGAATAAAAACAATTACACTCACTTTGGCGCCACATATACTAAAATTGAAACAACATACAGATTAGCACAATTCCTGTGCAAAGGTAACACGAAATTTCATAGATTTCAATAATAACTTTGGATATAAATGGCCTTAATTCTCCAATTAAAAGACATGCACAGATGGTAGGTTAGATTAAAAATAAAATCCAAGACCCTCAAGTCTTTGCTGCCAACAAGAAACACACCTCACTGGCAAAGGTATACACAGACTGACTGTGAAAGGACAGAAAAGAATATTCTCCGCAAATGGAAGCTGAACACAAGCAGATGTAGTTACATTTTTATCTGACAGAGCAAACCTCAAACCCAAGTTAGTCAAAATAGACAAAGAAATTCACTGGATTGGTAATGGAAATAATTCACAAGGAAAAATTGATAATTAAAATTATATATGCATTTAGTGTCAGGGAACCCAATTTCATGGATCAAGTACTGCGGTACATAAAGTGACAGAGAGATCCCCAAGAGAGTGATAGTAGGTGACTTCCTCAGCCCACTCTCACAATAAATATTGTTGTGGCTGGTGTCTAGATATCCCCGTAAAGCCTCTTGCATTCTTAGGTGGAGACTTTCAGAGAAGACTGCTACCAGAGTGTGTGATGCTGGGGTTAAGAGTGTGTGATTACTAAATTAGTCCACTGATTGCTTTGGCATAGTTCTGGGCTTAGATGATGGGAAGCCCCCTGGATGTGATGCTACCCATCCCTAGGGCATGTACCTGCGTGGACAAAAAGAAGATCTGCTGCTGTTGAGTGGTATCTGCTGCTGGCTACCGTGCTTCTGCTGGCCACGAACTGTTTCTGCTCCGTGATCCCCTCTGCCCTGCTATTCTTCCTTGAAAGAAGCCAACTATGAACTGAAAACTCTACAAACTGTGAGCCAAAATAAACCTTTCCTGCTTTAACTTTGGACACTGTGTATTTTGTGTCAGCAACAATAAGAGTAACTAAGACATTCTGGCAAAAAAATCAAGAAAGATGCATCAGAATTAAACTACACAATAGAAGAAATGGACTTAACCAACATGATATCCCATCCAATAACAGCAGAATGCGTATTCTTTTCAGCAGCTCATAATCTTTCTTCAGAACAGATCATATTTTGGTCCAAAATGCAATTCTTAGCAAATACAAACAAAATTTAAAATAATGTCTTGTGTCTTACCACATCATAATGGAACAGAGCTAGAAATCAACAGCAAGAGACATTACAGAAACTACACAAATATATGGAGATTCAACAATTCTCTTTTGAATGATTCCTGGGTCATTAAAGAAATGCAAAACTTCCTGAGATCAAAAGAAAGTACAAATACAATATACTAGAACCTGTGGGATACAGTGAAGTCAATTTTAAGAGGAAATTTATAATGCAAAATACACATATCAGAAAAATCAGAAAGCTCTCAACTATGTAAGCCAATAAGATGCAGGAAAGGGACAGACAGGCTCGAAAATAGGATGTGGGGTGTGTATTTACCAGCTTTCACAATAAATGTATTCATGGTGTACCACAAACATGTATCAACAACATTTTAAAAAATTGATCTGTTCAGATGGCCAAAGACCTAAGCATAACACCTGAAACCTTGAAACTGCTACAAGAAAACATCATAAATGCATACAGATGCATTTATAAGCACAGGCAAAGACTTCCTGAGTAGGACTCCAAAAGTTCAGAAAATAATAACATCAACAAATGCTATTGCATCAAAGCAAAAAATTTCTGCACAACCAAGAAAACAACCAACAGTGCAGAGACAACCAATGGGAGAAATCTTTGCCAGCTACTCTTCAAACGGGATTGACATACAAAGTATATAAAGAACTCAAAAAAGTAACTCCAAAAGAACAAATAACCCAATTAAAATGGGCAAATAAACTGAACAAGCACTTCTCCAAAGAAGTACAAACAGCCAATAATTATGTGAGAATTGTTATCCACTAGGGAAATGCACGTCAGAACTACACTGAGATCCATTTCACCCCAGTCAGGATGACTGTCAGCAACAATACAAAACACAATAAATGTTAGCAAAGGACAAAGGACCGCTTACACGCTCTGGGGAGGATTTTAAATTAATCCAGCCACTGAGGAAATCAATATGGAGGTTCCTCAAAAAACTAAAATAAAACTACCATATGCCACGCTTTGTATGTGCCTGAAAAAAATTAAAGTCAGCACACTGCAGGGATACCTGTACACTCAGGCCCATTGCAGAATAACTTACAATAATAAGATAAGGGACCAAACCAGGTGGTCACAGATGAATGGATGAATGTGGTATTTATACACAGCAGTCTTTTTCACCCTTAAACAAGAACAAAGTCGTGTCATTTGGAGGGAAATAGATGTAACTGGAGATTAGCAGAGTAAGCAAAGTAAAAACAGACTCAGAAAGACAAATACTGCCTATTTTTCCTCATATGTGGCGTGTATGGAAAAAAGTGGCCATGAAAATCGAAGGGAGATTATTAGAGAAAAGAGGGATCAAAGGAAGGACAAAGGCAGGGGGCCGTGGGAGGGAGATGGACACAAGAAAGTGGGGCAAGTCTAAAGTGTCCCAACGAAGCCCGATAAATAAAAAAGAAAAGCAGTAACTCTCATCTAGGAATAAAACGGAGTTCTTTAACCTAATAAATCTACTTGTGAAAAGCCTATTGCTAAAACCATTCCTAATGATGACTAAGGACTCTGCTCCAAGATCAGGAACACAGCAAGAAAGCGTGATTCCCCTTAGGACCATGTTCAGGTTTGTATGAATGTCCACCCAGTACAATAAAACAAGCGAGAAAGTCACACAAATAGGAAAGGAAGCGTTAAATCTGCTTTTCTACTCAGGTGATACCATTACATAAATAGGAAATCCTAAGTAAGCAGCCGAAGAAAGCTTCAAACTTGGCAAGTTAAAAAAAAAAAAGATACAAGATCAGTAAACAAAATTTCACAGCATTTCCGTATGTTAGCAGCAAAAAATTATAATAGCATAAAAATATGAAATATTTAGTGGCAAATTGAGCAAAACATGTAGGACTCACAAATTGAAAATTACAAAATTTTCTGGTAGAAATTTAAGACCAAAATACAGTAAATATAAAAATGTAGATGTTCATGGATTGAAAAACTAGATAATGGTAAGCTTTTTATTCTCCCCAAATTAATTTGTGTATTCTACAAAACCCTAATCAAAATCCCAGCAATCGTTCTCTAGAAGCGCAAAGATGCCAGCATAACTTAATGGCACACTCGTGTGACCCTAAGAGCGAGCATCCCTTGCATTATTTGTCCCCAGATGGCTCCTTGGCCGCATCCTCGCCCCAGCCTTGCCATTAAATGATCTTGTAAAAATTATGGTGGATGAAAATCCGCATTCTTTGGTGTGTATCTGTTGTAGTTGAGATCTAGAACGCTGCCCAGAGCTCTCGGGCACTCTGGGGTGGACCTTCTGGGAGGTGATCGGATCATGGGGCGCTGTAACCATCAGTGATTGATCCGTATCTGCAGGTGCTGTCAGGAGGCCGGTCTGGTCAGAAGAGGAAGGATACTGGGGTGTGACCCAGAAGGGTGTAGCTTCCTCCCAGGCTCTTTCACCTCTCTGCTTCCTGGTCACCGGGACATGAGCAGCTTCCCTCCACAGCAGGCCCTTCCACCATGATGCCTCCGCATTTGAGCCAGCTGACCATGGACTAGAACTCCTGAAACTGTGAGCCGAGGTAAACTCACCCGTCACTGCAGATGCCGGGCACTGTGTTTCGGCAACAGGAAGACTGATTGAAACAGCCCCACACCGGCGCCTCACCAAGCTGGCTGCAAGCTCCTGGAGGTCTAGAGTTTTATTTGCCGTATCTTGCTCCAAAATTGCTGCTCAGCTGACACTGACAGTGAATCATTTTGCGTCCTCACACACACACTCAGCTCTCAGCCTTCCCTCCATGGCTTCTTCTGACGAGTGCACCGTCCAAACGATCTTCTTTTCTTTCTAGGCTGTCCAAGCACTACTTGGCTGTTCCTCAGCCCCCAGAAGTAGGTCAGCTTGTCCCTAGAAATGTGTCTATTCATGGAGCTGGACGTGAGCCCTCTCTTTTCAACCAGCCCATCAGAGATGCTGCCATGGCCTTGGTCCACAGGTGCATCTTCATCCAGGGGATGTGGGCAGCTTGGGCACCACAGGGCATCTTGCCTTGATCTCCTGCACTACTGCCTGTGTGGGGAAGACATGCGCAGCTCCCACTGATGGGGCTGTCTGAGTGACTGTCTTTCAGAGGGACCCAGGAGACCTGCATCCCCGCCGCCCCAGCATCATCACTGCCTCGATGGCTGTCTGATTACCTCCCAAAGAAACCACTTCTGTCCAAAGTTTGTCTCAGGTCTTCTTTGGAAGAACCCAAGCTAAGACACAAATCTTGCTGCCATATTTGGGTATTCTTACCGAATCCACATTAGACGAAGCAAAGGGATCGTTTGCATTAATAGGGGAATTTGCTCTGAAATCAACATTTTAAAAAATGAGGACCACCTAATGAGCCA